TATTGACATTGTTCAAGTAGGTTTTTGTTGTCGACTGGGTCATACTGCAATGAAAAAGCCCTTCAGTAAGCATGGATGGGTGAAAGAAATGCTGTTGGTAGTGTTACTGTTGTTTTTTTATCTATATAATAACACACAGAGTCTGGGTACAACTTAACTCCCACGCTGGCTCTCGGCTGGTGGCTTTGTATTTTCATAAAAACATACAATATTTTACAGTATCACTGATATCAATAGGTTAAATTCATTTTTTTAGTATTTACAATACTAATTCATTCTTTTTAGTATTTGGAGGTATGTAAATGAGGTATGTATTTGCTAATACTGTAGAATACTTTATCTTCGCTTGGAATTTATTTTCGCCATTTTCACTGAAGGGATGATTCAGTGAAAATAAAATCCAGTGAATATACATTTTTTTCTATATTTTACATTCAACATTCAAAAGTCAGTGAAAATGAACTGTACACATAGCACCTGAAATATCTTTTCATGATAAATTAATTCCAGCTAAAATAAAGTATTTTACAGTACTTCATTAAGGTTTAGTATGTGACATATATTTTACTTTAAACTCATTAAAACACAGTGAAAATAAATTCCATACAAAATGCCCAAAAAAACTTTTCAGCGAAAATTAATTCCAGCGAAAATAAAGTATTCCACAGTATTTAGGCAGATTAGATATCTGGTAGTTTTGAAAGCGAACTAAGCTCGGACTGTACTGTATTTGAGAGATACTGTATACTAAATGATGAAGGACTACACCAAAGTTATCATTGTGAATATCATTAGTTCCATTCATCCAATTTATTTCTACACCACAAAAGAGTTCTCACAATAGGGCATGACTTGATTTGTAGTAAATAAAACCAATGCATACAGCTCACCTTAGAATGTTGCCCACAATAACAGAGATGCTTTCTCTCTCTTCTGTTGTACAAGGTCCCAGTAAATACTCTGGTTCAGCACTCCTGCCTGTAGTCAATTGTTTCTCACTCATGGATCTGTATTCAGAAAACAAATAAACAGTGAAGGTGATTCCCTCTGCAACTATAATTTTGAAAATGTTGTCTGCATGGAGGTTGTTTCCCTTTACTGTAAAATACTTTATTTTTGCTTGGAATTAATTTTCATTATTTTCACTGAAGGGATGATTCCGTGAATATACAAATTTTTCCTATATTTACATTCAACATTCAAAAGTCAGTGAAAATGAACTGTACACGGAGCACCTGAAATATCTTTTCATGATAAATTAATTCCAGCTAAAATAAAGTATTTTACAGTACTTCATTAGGGTTTAGTATGTGGCTTATTTGATGGTATGAATATACATAAATTGTGAGAAATATTTATGTGCATATTCAGTTCTGAATTACTTTGTGAATCCTGTGTGCTGATACAAAGGCATAAAAAAATTTAGTACCGGGGGTAAATACAATTCAATGGGAAACGGAAACAAACATGAACATTTGGATGGACTGATACATATTGAACATTTAGTAAAGAACTCGTACAATTCATGTGATTTAAAATGTTTCATGGAATAGTCACTAGACCCCATTACAACACTCTTATTATTAACCAGTTTGTTCTTGGCGATGTTATCAGTAAGACTGCATCGTTGTACATTCGTGTGCAATATCATCTAAATACTAAGTTGTTCTGTTGTCAAATTTAGGAACTGTCACTGTCTTGTCACTATCACAATTTATAGAAAATAATTTTGAAATGATAGTACTAGTACTATTGTGGGAACAATGGAAACAATTAAAGCTTAAAACATATGCACACATTTGTATCAACACAACTAGTAAACAGAAAAAACATTTGTACTCACCGGTCAATGAAATAATTCTGGACTTCACTAGGGAAATTAGTCTGGAATTCAGCAATGGTATGAGTTCTTGCAGTCATGCCTAAATGCAATAGGAATGTATCTGGCGGCTGTGGTTTGTTCCACAATGGCGTGCCTGAATCGGTTGACCTTTCTCTCTCTCTCTGTTCATCTATATCTTTTTCTGTTTTTTGTGATCTGATAGGTGGAAGGGTCTGGTATTTCTTTAAGTCCGAATCAGAGAGAGATCGCTCTGTGGAGTCTGTCTGTTTGAGTCGCCTGCAGGCTCTTATTCGTTTCTATCATAATAAAATTAATCAGATGATTTCAGTGATAGCCATGGATGACATTGAAATACACAATAGAGAATGAATTAAGATCAAGAAATGTTTTTTTTTGAAGTGTATAAAATAATAATTATGAAAACCAACCTCTCTTTTCTCCAGATCTTTCTCAGTGATGGTAAATTCATATTTTTGTCTTTCTTTCTCAGCTTCCCATGCTGCTAATTCTCTCCTATACTCGGCCAATTCAGTTTCGTCAGTGATCTGTGATTGTACAAAGGAAAAACAAGAAGGAAAAATTAGCATCAAACAAAAAACAAGCAGCCTCTCGGCTGAGATAGCTCCGCTGTTAGCAATGCACATTTCAATTAAAGAACAGAAGATATCACTAGAAAATGAACAATATGCATAGTATCAATGCAATGGGACTTGCTGTTTTCAACAAGAATTCAAAAATATAGTTTTTAATCATAAATGATTGTGGTTTTTAACAAGAAGAAAATATCACTTTTTACCAAAAATGACAAAAATATTCACCAAAGTTAGAGAATTGAAGATATCATTACAAAATGAACAAATCTGAGAGAGATACACATGTAGTACCTATATATGTAATATCAAAGCAATTGGACTTGCGGTTTTTAACAAGAAGTCGAAAATATCACTTTTTACCAAAAATGACAAAAATATTCATCAAAATTAGAGAATTGAAGATATGATCATGAAATGAACAAATCTGAGAGAGGTCTACCCAAGGTACATATACACCAAGTATCAAAGCATTCAGGCTTGTAGTTTTCAAGAAGAAGTCGAAAAAGTAAAACATTGACATGGACGACGGACAATCACTCATATGATAAGCTTCGCTCGACAAAGTCGACAGCGGAGCTAAAAATGAAAAAATATCCGAATGAATAAATGAATAAATTATTATTTTCACTGCATTTTCTTTCTTTCTTTATTTAAGGATGACAGAGTGAAACAAGATCAATAGATGTGGTAGATATGGTTCACGCTACTACCACTCATCTGTCAAATAGAACCAAGTACACTGCTACAAGGTGCACAAATATGTATTCCTACCTCGCATACTAGATCCAAATCATAGAAGGACGGTTCACCAGTAGCAATGAATGTAACTTTACACAGCATACTTTCCAAGGGTTGGAGAACACCACTGACTGGCTGAATATCAACAACCTGGTAGATAAAATGAATAAATGTTTGAAATAATTTTTTTGTAGGTGCAATAAGTCCAACAGTGGTCACAGTGTGTCGTGTTCGATATGGATCTCATGTAGGTAATATATAAAACATTTACACAACATGTAAAATGGTATGGGTCCAGGGTGATATATAATTACACATGCAAAACTAGTTTGATCTGAACCTCCCTTCAACTGTATAAACCATTCCAGCCCCTTTTACAAATGGTATAAACTACTGCAATCTCATTCCGCTGACAAACTAGTCCATTCCATTGTATACCAGCAGGGGGTTTCTTACCTGGCTATCAGCTTCTGAGGTGACATACCATTCATAAGATACAATATGTGAAGTTGATCTGTTGGTTATGTAGGTGGTACGACGTGACTGACTGAAGAGGGGCAAGTTACCAAAAGATAGTCGTTCTTGGGTCAAATACACCAACTGTAATAGAAACAAGAAAGGTCTTAAAGAATCGAAGATTCACTTCTTGATATAGAGTAAAAACTCACTTTGCGAACTCTGGTCATTAAAACAATAAAAAGATATCTCAGAATATGATTCCTAGTTATGAAAATCTAATGCTTCACTCCACATATTGTCTCACCTGTCTTGGTACTGGCACACTCTGTACAGCAGGAACACCGCTCAAGTCATGCTGATCTGTTAGCGGCATTGTGTCACCCATAATTCTCTTATCATAGCCTACACCAGTAAATGTAATCAATGCTGTGTCCCCATTGATGATATGAATTGGTACATCAACCTGCAAACACCATTGAACACAACAATCAGTTCAATATCTGAATTGATATTATTACACATTACAGTGAAATATGAGTATAGTAACAACCCAAGGGACTTCATTAAAATGATCTTTATGGACAGGTGGTCTTTTATATGGAGGTTGAATTTTTTTTTTATGGATTGCCAAGACTGTACTGTTTATACATTTATTTATTATCAAAATAGAACAAGTTTGAGTTAAGGAAATTAAAATTTGTTTTTGCTAATTGGCGAATACTTTACTTTAGCTGGAATTAATTTTCGCTGAAAAGACTTTTTGAGTGTTTTGCATGGATTTAATTTTACTGGTTTTTGAAGAGTTAAATGTAAAATATAGGAAAAAAAGTAGGAATGATTCAGTGAAAATAGCGATGATTAATTGCAAGCGAAAATAAAGTATTTTACAGTTCTGCTGAAAAACTGGTCACATAAGACAGGTGGTCTTTAATTAAAACACTGGTTGCTCATATGTTATGTCTTGGGTGTTCACACTATAAAGGTGATTACTAAAAACAGGATTGACTGTACTGTCAGATGTGTGGAAGTCACATCCTGTATATCATATATAGACAACCACTCATTCATCCAAACGTCTCAATTCATTGGGTATCAGATATACTTTCCAAATGTGCATGGGCCACAGACAGGCTGCTCATACTTTTATGTTCAATGAACTCAATTGTTGATTCAGATACATCATGACACCCTTACCATGTAGGTTTTTGCTTCCAGAGGAGAGAAGATCCATTCCACATATGCTGTTCTACCTGGAAGTATCTCCCCTGTGGGATTCAGACACTCAAATATATCATGATAGAAATTTTCCTGTATGAAGAAAGTGAGAGAGCGTATGTGAAATAACATGATTGCATAAAAATTGTCACATGGACACTACTACACTAGCATTTAGAAGATTTGAAGTATTTTTTCACTTCAGGAACATTAGAGTTATTTGAATAGAAAATGTGTGAAAGTTTTACAAATCTACAAAACGAATAGTTTTCACTTTTTGAGTGGATGCTCTGGCAGAGTAATATTAGACTGATTTTGAAATAGCCAAGATATAGTGAATTTTCAGTGACTACATTTGTATTATGATAGTAACAGAGTCAAATACTGGAATTAGAATTTGCATTCAACACAATGAATGTAAAATGCACATCTTGAATAATGTTTTTTCTTTTTCTCAAAATTCTCTTATACTCTAAAACTCACAAATTTCTTAGTATAGTTCACAACTGACCTGTCTAACATATTCCAGTGCAGTGAGATCCAGTTCATATGTTACTGGGATGGCTCCACCATTGTATAACTCATACACCTGCTTTGGGTTTGCGCTAGCACCGATTGGCACAGGGTAAAACATGTGCTTATTGCTGGGAAAATGGACATATTTTCTTTCAGGTTCAACAGTCACACCGATAAAATTCAACTGAAAGAGAAAAAAAAATATTACCTTTTTTTAACAAATTGATAATATAAAATTGATAGTATAAAAAATAGAAAATTATACATGTAAGACTACATGGTTTAATAAGGTATATACAAAATTCAATTCCATACCAATATTTCCCTGCCTCTCATCAATTTAAATAACACTGGTAATCTGTCAGTTCCTGGAAAGTTATGTCTGTATATGAATGTAATAGTCTGGCATTGACCGGGTTGTAGCGTTCCTTTATTCGGCTCAACACTGAACAATTTATTATCCATCACTCGCATCTGAAAAGGTAAAAAAAAAAGATAATTAAATATGAGTTTTCTTTTTTCGCACATCTTAAAATTTTACATGGTAATCTGAAGTGACATCTTCTACCGACTTTTAATTGAGATTTGATGTGTGTTATTGAAATTTTACATTTATCGTATTCATTGTGGTTATTATTTCAATGAAAATAAATAAGTGAATTGATACTGATATATTTTTACGGAAATTTATAGTACTTAGTAATTTTTTAGTCCCAATATAAAAGGTCAATGTTCTGGATGTAACGCAGCAACGATACCCGCAAATCCCTGTTGAATCAGTTTTTTATCATTGCGAACAGAATCACATTACACTTGACAGTTTTTCTTTGTTTTTATGGAGGTGATAACTTGTTGATTTGTTTGATACGCGACAGAAAAGTATTGTGAAAACAGGAAATCAACAATGACAAGAGGGATTCGCTAAATAAAGATTTCGCTATTACCCCCCCGGTACGTCATTTTACCTCAATTTGCTAAAATTGCATGTCACTTTTTCAACATGTTTTACAGTAGTTGTTATGTCAGAATACATGTACACATGTACTTGATTTTATCCCAAGACTAACATGACAGAAGTAAAAGGTTAACATACACTAAAATCTGTCTACACAAAATTCTGATTTCCAGTCTGTTCCACGCAGACTTGCATGTATACAATACCTCTATAAACCAAACATTCCTTTAAACTGAACAATTTTTCTCAGTTTTTTGAGGTGCTGTTCAGGTTTGCACTCGGATCATCAAATTTCACTCTCTAAGTTGCTCACATACATCAAGGTTACCAATGCATTGAACAGAATACCGACTCAACCAATCTTAATACATGTAAGGAAGTTACAAACACACTTACCTCATGTAGCTCCTCCTCGTCAAATTCACCCGTTTCTGCCCAGTATTCTAACTCCAGCTGTAAATCAACTGGAAACAAGAACGCCCAGTCGGTTGGCACGGCTCCCATATTCTCAATCATCAGATGCACCACGCAGTCTTCGGAATGCACCGGTGCCGCACCAAAGTTGAAGTCGAGGATTGCTCTGGTGTAGACTGGTGGGCGTCGTCTGGTGCTGTGTCTGGTGATCACCGAGTACATGAGTTCTTCGGCTGATGGATCAGCGTCCAGGCAAACATTCAAACTAAAGGAGTGATGAAAATATATTAGAAAACTGAGTAGTTCAGCAAGAGATATCACCTGGGTGATAAGTACACCAAACAACGAATATAACATTTAATTAATGCAGCTACAATACAAAAATGAACAGAAAATTTTCTCTCACAACAATCTTAAAATTCTCTTTTACCAGTATATGCCTTATAGATACAAGTCATTGTCAATGACACGTCCCCGTTCCGTTCATATTTGAGTGACATATACATTCAAAGCAGATCATGACCGAAATGCACCTGCATATGTACAACACATTGTGCTAAATCTGAACAAAATCCATCCATGCATGACTGAGATCCGGTTCTGGAATTGTGAAAATATGTGATTTTGATGCATTTTCGGCCTTAAAA